GAAATGCCACACAAATGGGAAAGAAAAGCTTTCAAATATTTTTATTTGTGAGATAAAAAATTCCCGTAGAGTGACAAAAAATATTAATTATACAGACTATCACAAGTTACCTTGCCCAATGATTACAGAGCACAAATACAGCTCCAAAATGCAAGTAAGCTCTCTCCCCACAATCAGAATCACAATGGATTATTAAGATGCAATTCATCAAACACTTAAAAAGTGACATGATGTTGAACACAAAGACAAAAATCCCCTGACCTCAAGGAGCATACATTTTGGAGGGAAAGTGGTGAGGGTAGAGGAGTAGAGAATACAATTCATGTTTTACAGAATGTACTGTAGAAATAATAAATAAAATGCAATAGAAATAATTATATCAAATGGATATGAAATAATGTTCCAGATAAGTGTCCAAAGCAATTTTTAGCACTGTCAAATCATATATAGTGATTCATTTTGTTCTGACACAATAAATACTACCAATGAACATTAAAAAAAACTCCACCCCAACTATCCCCAGATTGGAGATGGAGTAATAAGAAGTACAATGAAGTTCCTACCTCCAACCTCCCCCCCAAAAAAACTTCCAAACAAATCCAGAGAAGGCACTAGAACAAACACTAATAAAGAAATACAAGAAAAGCCACAGTAAGTCATTTTCCTGGCTCATGTTGGCATAAGAAGACAGATGTCAAGGACAGGTTGTGGTTAGGTATAGGCTGAATGACTGCAGCACAGGGAGAAGTTGTGCAGCAGAGCAAGAAGATGTCCTAGATACCTAATGTAGGAGCCTAAACTTGGGTAAGTTGCAGAAATTGATGTCAAAGGAAGGTTTGTCACAATTACCCTGTTACAGGACACAGACCCAGAGCAGACCAAATCAGAGACCTGCATCTAGTGGTGGCATTGCAGGGACAGAAGTGGTGGCAGAAGCAAACTACATACTAAGCAAAAAGAAAACTCAGAAGGAAACAACTGTGTGACTTCAACTCCAGGAACAGAAAAGGATCTCAGTTTCCAGATTCCATACTAGTTTGAAGCCTACAGAAGAATAACTGAGACATTTAATCTCAGACTGAAAGAGAACCTGCAGGTCTGTCACTCTGAACCAGCAGAACTTTCCAGCTCTCTGATAGTGACTAAGTCCAGCAGCAGTCTAGTGGAACTCCAAACATGTAAGCCCAAAGGCCTATTGCACATTACCAAAACACAGGTCATGAATTCGCAAAATTCAGACCAAAGGACCAATCAGATTTTTCCCTGGATCAAACCACTTTGGGAGCACTAAAAGCTTGCAGGTCCCCAATCTGAGCTGTCCTGTAATATAGCAGTCAGTATGCCCAAGAAAACAAGAGCAGTATAAGTCCAGGCATTCCCTCCAAAAGCATACAGAACCTGGCCCTAACAGGAAGTCCAAAGTAAGAAAGAAAGCTAGAAGAATAAGCAAACAAAAAAAAAAGGCATAACCATAAAGATGATGGCAGACACTCTCAAGGCACTCTCTAGACAGAATGATTCAAAACATCTAGAAGCAAAGACTCAAAAGAAAATACAGCTTGGGAACATTCAACTAAAATTCCTTGCTATATAAGGAATTTAACTTTCAAAAAGTTAAAATATTTTTATAAATAAAATATGTACATTAGAGGAAAAACTGAAATATAAACGAAAGCTATGGAATAAAGAACTGGAAAACAAATTATCAACAGGCAACAAGAGAAATAAATAAAACTCTGCCCAAACAATAAGCTCCTTGAAAATTAGAATAAATCTACTGATTCTATAACATAAGAATTACTAAAGCAGAGTCAAATAAACTGAAAAAAAATTAAATAAAATGAAAGATATTTGATGGTAAAGACAACTGACCAAGAAAATAGAGAAAAGATAATTTAAGAATCAGTGAAAGCCTTGACAAAAAAAAATAAATATTCAAGATATCATAAAAGAAAACAGCTGAGACCTCTTAGAATCAAAGGATAAAAGAAAAAGCCATCAGTCACCCCTGTAAATAAACTCCCAAATGAAAATTCCCAAGAAGAGGATAGCCAAATCCAGAGTTTCCAAGTCCAAAAAGAAAATACTGCAAATAGCAAGAAAGAATTCAAATAACAGAGCCACAGTCAGAAAAACACACAATCTGGCATTCACCACTATAATGGAATAGAGAATTTTAAATGTGGTATTCCAGAAGGCAAAAGATATAGGCTTACAATGAAGAACCACTTATCCAAACTGGTATAATACCACAGGAGAAAAAATAGACCTTAAATGAAATAGAGATTTTCAACCATTCCTGATAAAAATACCAAAACTGCATAGAAATTCAAAAGTACAAAGCAGTCAAGAGAAATAGAAAAAGGTAAACATGCAAGAACAAGGAATTGAACAAGGAAAAACTGCTTACATTCTAATATGGGGAAATGATACATGTGTCCCAAAGAAGTAGAAGTCTATACCAACAAAGAAATGATAGAGGGAGGAGTTGAAATCTGAACCTCACTCTCAATGATTTGGTCAAGGAGAGACAAATAGGTGTAAAAGCACATACATATTCACTCACTCTCACACACACACATACACACACACAGAGTTGGGTACAGAAAGGCTTTTCACTCAGTAAGGATACAGAAGGGAAAGGGGAGAAGAAATAGGGAAAGTCAGAGGAAAGGTAATTAAAGGAGGGATTAGTCCCAAGTAAAACAAATTCTAAATAAGTACGTATGAAAATATTTATACCTCTTTTTGAAGTGGCAAAGAACTAGAAATTAAAGGGGTATCCATCAATTGGAGAATGGTTGAGGGAGGCGGAGCCAAGATGGCGGAGTGAAAAGAGTGTAAGCAGTGACTTGCTTGAGCTCTCCCCCAAACCCCTCCAAATACTCATAAAAAATGGCTCTAAACAAATTCTGAAGCAGCAGAACCCACAAAAAGACAGAGTGAAACAAATTTCCAGCCCCAGACAACCTGGATGATTGATCAGAAAGGTGTATCTCACCGGGCTGGGAGCACAGCGCAGCATAGCGTGGGAGCGCAGGCCGCAGCGAACCTGGAGCAGGCCTCAGAGGACTGAATCTCGGACAGCTGTGGAGGTTTCCAGACTCCTCAATCCACCAATGCCAAAGACAACTTAAAAGGTCAGTGGGAAAAGTCGGTTTCTGTCGGTGCTGAGAAAGGAAGGCTGCTTCCTGAGCTTCCAGCCCACAGACAGAGGGGGAATCCAGTGGCTGATCAAAGAGGGACTGCAAGGATCTCTTTGCCAGTGCTGAGGCAGGAATCTCTTACTTTGCCCGTGTGTGGATCTAGGCCACAGTTCTGGGTGGCGGTGATGGGGTGAGGAGGAGCGCTGGTGTGGTGGAGCTTGTAGTGGCTGTGCAGAGGAACCCCTCCTCACAGTTACAGGACAGAAAGGAGTACTTGTGGTCACAGGCCAGGAAAGGAGTAAACACCTCACCCCTTATCACACCACCTTGGAAGAACTGAAAATTTATAAGTCCCTACAAGTATCTCTGAAAACAGCTGTACAAACCCCCCCGAAGCTTGGGACAGTACATTCTCCACATTGGAAGCAGATTCCTACCTTAACAAAGAGTTTAAAACTCAAGTAACTGTCTGGGATCATGAGCAAGCAGCGCAAAGAGTCAGACTATTTTATCTTACTTTGGTGAAAAAGAAGACCAAAATATACAACCAGAAGAAGACAACAAAGTCAAAGCCCCTACATCCAAAGCCTCCAAGAAAAATATGAATTGGTCCCAGGCCACAGAAGAGCTCAAAAATGATTTTGAGAAGCAAGTAAGGGAAGCAGAGGAAAAACTGAGAGTGATGCTAAAGAAGACCCAAAAAAATACTGAAGAAAATAACACCTTAAAAAATAGCCTAACCCAAATGGCAAAAGAGATCCAAAAAGCCAATGAGGAGAAAAATGCCCTAAAAAGAAAAATTGGCCAGATAGAAAAGGAAGTCCAAAAGATTACTGAAGAAAATATTTCCTTAAAAATTAGAATAGAGCAATTGGAAGACAGTGACTTTATGAGAAATCACAACACAGTAGAACAAATCCAAAAGAATGAAAAATTAGAAAACAATGTGAAATATCTCATTGCAAAAACAACTGACCTGGAAAATAGATCCAGGAGAGAGAACTTAAAAATTATTGGACTATCTGAAAGCCATGATCAAAAAAAGAGCCTAGATATCATTTTTCAAGAAATTATCAAGGAAAACTGCCCTGATATAGTAGAACCAGAGGGCAAAATAGAAATTGAAAGAATCCACCGATCTCTTCCTGAAAGAGATCCCCAAAGGAAAACTCCTAGGAATATTATACCCAAATTCCAGAGTTCCCAGGTCAAGGAGAAAATATTACAAGCTGCCAGAAGGAAACAGTTCAAGTACTGTGGGAACAGAATCAGGATAACACAAGATTTAGCAGCTTCTACATTAAAGGACCGCAGGGCATGGAATATAATATTCTGGAGGGCAAAGGAGATAGGATTACAACCAAGAATCACCTACCCAGCAAAACTGAGTATAATCCTTCAGGGAAAAAAATGGTCATTCAGTGAAATAGAGGACTTTCAAGCATTCTTGAAGAAAAGACCAGAGCTGAATAGAATGGTTGAACAAGTTATAATATATAAATGTGAAGAAATAACATTGTGCTTGAGGAAATGAAGAACATGGTTTCAGAGAAACCTGGGAAGACTTGCATAAACTGATGCAGATTGTAGTGAGAACCAGAAAAAAAATTATACAGTGACAACAATACTGGTAAGATAAACAACCTTGAGAGACTTAGGAACTCTGAATGACACAATGACCAATCAGAATTTCAGTGGACTAATTATTATTAGAGATGCTATCCCACTGTCCAAGAAAGAAACAAAGGAATCAAAGTACAGAGTAAGATTTTTTTTAACATGGCCAATAAGGGAATTTGTTTTCTTTATCACAATTATTTTTATATTTTTAAGTGAAAAACTGTACAAACTTACCTTATATTAAGAAAGCAATTAGATCGGTTACCAACAGCAAAATAGTCAGCTGTAGTCAAAATATCAATTCCATGAGGAAAAGTACCCTAAAAAAAATTCTGTAATTAGTATATGCATATTAGAGTAACATTTCTCTTAAAAAATTTAATATTAAAAATAGCACTTTCTCTGGAATCAGAGGATCTAGGTAAAAATCCCAACTTCATTTCTTATAAATTTTATGATGCTGAGAAAGTCAATTAACCTCCTTCAGTTTCCTCCCTAAAACTAAGGGGTTAGACTAGATAACTTTTGAGTTTCCTTTCAGTTCCAGATCTGTGATGCTATAATTCAATGCTAAAAACTGTGTACATGAATAAATTAAAAATATTTGCTTAAAAGAACACAAAAATTTAACTCCAAAAATTAATTTCATGAAAAATTATTACAATATTAAAGAAGAAATCTATTATTTACTTAAAAATAAAAATTCATACTAAAAGAAAAAGCAAAAAAGGTGGGAGGCAGACATTTTAAAGTCAACATATCTAAAACCATATTATTCCTCCACAACCCTCTCTCTTCTTCCTAACTTCCCTATTACTGCCAAGGGCACCACCAACCTCTCATTACATAAGCTAACAGGGTAGATGTCATTTTTGACTCTTGCCTTTCTCACTCATCATGTGCAATCAACTGCTACGACCTGTTGATTATATCTTTCTAATATCTCTCCTCTAACAAAATGCCCACCCTGGTACAAGATCGCATCACCTTATATCTAGTGACAGCCTTCTGTTTGGTCTCCCTGCCTCAAGTATATTCACACTCATCATCCCACTTAGCTGTCAACTGATCTTCCTAAAGCAAAAGTCTGATGATGTTATTCTGCTATTCAATAAACTTCCTGTTACCACCAGAACTAAGTATAAAATCATCTGCTCGACTTTGGGCAAAGCACTACAGCATCTTTGCCAAGAAAATCCCAAATGGGAAATAATAAATACAGGAAATGGGGTACAGAAGTCTACCCTGCCCTACAGGAAAATAGAAGGGGAAGGGGATAAGAGAAGGGGAGAGAGACAGAAGAGAGGACAGACTAGGAGAAGGGATATTCAGAATGCATGCCATCTTGGGGTGGGGTAAGGGGGGAGATGGGGTGAAAATTCGGAACTCAAAAACTTGTGGGAGTGAATGTCGAAAACTAAAAATAAATAAATTTATATATTTTTTAAAAATCCCAAATGGGGTCACAAAGAGTCAAACACGACTAAAACTAAACAACAACAAATAATCTGGTCCCTTCCTACCTTTCCAGAGTTCTTACACCTTACCCCTCCCATTTATATTTTCTGCAATCCAGTAATGTGTTTTTCTTTTACTGCTCCTTGCATAAAAAATTGATCTTCCAACTCCATGCATTTTTATTGGATATCTCCCATACCTGGAGCTGTCTCTTTCCTCATTTCCACACCTTATCTTCCCTGGAACCTTAAATATCTGGTTAAAATATTACTTTCTACAAGAAGTCTTTCCTGATCTCCACTAAAGCTAGTGATTTATTTTTGTGATTATCTCCCACATAGGGGGCAGCTAGGTGGCACAGTGGATAGAGCACCGGCCCTGGATTCAGGAGGATCTGAGTTCAAATCCGGCCTCAGACACATAACACTTACTAGCTGTGTGACCCTGGGCAAGTCACTTAACCCCACTGCCTAGCCCCCCCCAAAAAAAAAGATTGTCTCCCACATATCCAGTGTATATTTTGTTTTTACATAGCTGTTTACATGCTCTCTCCCCCAATTAGAGGTGAGCTCCTTAAGAAAAGGGACAGTTTTTATGTCTTTCTTCATATCCCCAGCACTTAGCACAGTTCCTGGCACTAAATAATTGCTTGTTGACTTGAGAGGTAGATATTAGTTCTATCAATCAATCAATCAAAAAGCAATTATTAAGTTCTTACTTAATGCCAGGCATTATGATTAAGTACTAAAGGGAGGGGGGAAAGTCCTAACCTTCAAGCAGCTCATACTATAATGGATGAGACACCATGTTAGGTACACAAAAGATATATACAGAGTAGATGGAAGGTCTTCTCAGAGCAGGGAAGTCACTAGTAGCAGAGATGGGAGGAGGGACTTAATAAAAAGTGGGACTGGAAATGAGATATAAAGGAAACCAGGGAACATAAGAGGCTGAGGTAAGGAGAGAGAACATTTCAAGGATGAGGGACAAAAGACAGTACAAAAAGATAAGAGACAGGAGACAGAATGTCATATATGAAGTAAAGAAAGTAGGCCAGCATAGCTGGATCATAACGAATGCATCAAAACACGCATAGAGTAAGAAGACAGGAAATTCAGGAAGGCATAGGTTATGAAAAGCTTTAAACGCCAAATAAGACTTTATATCTAATCCTGGAGGTAAGAGAAAATGACTGGAACATACTGAGTAGGGAGGTGACATGGCCAGACCAACTCTGTAGGAAAATCACTTTAGTAGCTAAATGGAAGATGGATTGGAGTAGAAAGAGCCAGGCAAATCAATTCGAAGTCTATCACAGTAGTGCAGGCAGGAGGTGATATGGGTCTGAACTAATGCAGTAACTGTTTAAGTAAAGAGGACAGTAGAGAGGATATATACAAGAGATGCTATAAAGGTATAAATCACAATATTATGCAATAGATATGTGGAGTGAGAGTAGGGAGTTGAAAATGATACCCATGTTGTAAGCCTGAATGACTAAGAAGATGACAGATTCCAAAACAATAAGGAAGTTGGAAAGAAGAGACAGTTTGTTGGGAAAAATAATGAGTTCTGATTTGGACATACTGAATTTGGCATGTAAACAGGGCATATAGTTTTAGAAACCGAAGATGCAGTTGAAAATATCTGACCAACTAATCATAAAGACTGAGGGAGATTATATAATATCTGCTAATCATCATCATAAAGATGATAAGTGAACTCATGGAAGCAAATAAGATCACCAAATCAGACAGTATAGAGAGAAAAGAGAAAAGGTCCTGAATGAAGCCTTGGGAAACAAATATTTAGCAGAAGTGACATGAATGAAGAATAGCCAAGGAGACAAAGAAAATGTAGGCAAATAGACAAGAAGAGAACATAGAGAAAAGAAAGCATTTTAAATGCTACAGAGAGATCAAAAGGATAAGGACTGAAATAAAGTTTAGTTTTGGGAATTTCTCATAATTGGCATGAGTGAGAATAATATACAAAGGTAGAGGAAAACGTAAGGGAGTTAGCATCAGATGAGTCTCAATATTATCTGACAGACAAAGGAAGGTTGAATACAACAAACACACACACAATTTGGTGTAGAAAAACATCAATTCAATATAGAAATAAATGGTAATAGGAAGGAGAGGGATTAAGAGGGAAAGTAATGCTGGAGAAGGAATAGCTGAAAACAAAAACAAATTACCTGAACCTGAGGGTGATTTGAGAAGGTAGGAGAGAAAGACTAGAAAATGTGAGGTATAGGGGCAGCAAGGTGGCACAGCAGAGAGAGTGCACTGGCCCAGGAATCAGGAGTACCTGAGTTCAAATCCGGCTCCAGATACATAACACTCACTAGCTGTGTGACTCTGGGAAAGTCACGTAACCCCAAATGCCTCACCTATACACACATACACACACACACACACACACACACACACATACATACATATATATATACACACACACATATATATAAAACATCCACGTTCAAGATAAGACCACTTGTCTTTAACCTTAACAATCTAAACTTGCATACCTAAAGTGTTCACATTTCTTCACGTAAAGGAATGGTCAATTCTTTGTTCAGGGCTCCTGGCTACTATGTGATGGCTTTTCCAAAAAAAAAAAAAAAATATATATATATATATATATATATATTACAGTTCTCAAATCCACTCCTCCACTGTGTCATATAGACTCTGAATCCTGAATTAATCCTTCTTTTCCCTCTCACTCTTCATATAGAAACTATTCTGCTATCCAGAGCTCTCAGATCCTATGAACTATGCTTGCCTTTTTGGGAGGTGACTATATCTTTGTACAAAAATTATTTTTCCCATTATGTGTCCATATAAAAATTCCCACTTAATTTCTTATGCCAACCTCTGATATATCGAAACTGTGATGGAGAATGTTGTGATGTGGACAAGATAACGATACTAAACATTATGTAACAGAGTCTTAATACATTTCTGTTGAGTATAACTGGAGAGAAATACGAATAGATTACAAGAGAAACACAATTAGGTGGATTGAGAACTGGTAGAATGATCAGACTCAATAAGTAGATGTAAAGGGTTCACTTTCAGAAAGGTAGGGGAATCTCTAACAGAAAATACCAGGATTTATGCTTGGCCCTGTAATGCTTAATATTTTTCAATATTGGACATCAGGAAAGATGATGGAGTAGGAGGCCACAATACTGCCCAGCTTCTCCTATAGGTAATCCAACTAAGAAGAGAAAGAAACGAGTTGCTGCTGTTTGTCTTTTGTTCTCGAAGAAGACCATGACATCAGGGACATGATGCCATGACATGCAAGTGAATCAGATTTAAGAGAAGGAGGGCTCTATAAAGTCATCAGCCTCACTTTCTCCTCTGGAGCCATATCAGACAAGTGATTAGCTAATCAAAAGAAAAAAAACACAGGGATCATTTTTCCAGACCAAGTTTTTATCTCCATTACACTCACTGGCAAGTGACCAGGCAGGTACTGTGCAACAGAGATAGGCAAGGATCATAGATTCAGTCACTCATCTCAGAGTAACAGCAGCAGATCTGTCCCTTTGACTCCAGAGATGGGAGCAAGGACCCAAACCTCAAGCAAATGCAGTAGCGTTCAGCAGTGTTCTTTATCTGAAATTGAGAGAGTATGGATTCGAGCCTAGCCTCAGACCACATTCACTCCTCTCACTCTGTTCTTACTCTCTTACAACCAACCTTTCAAACTTTACTCCACCAAAACTTCTCTCTTTAGGGTTTTCTATAATCTCTTAGTTGCCAAACAGTGGCCTTTTCAAATTCCTCATTCTTGACCTTTCTCCATACTTTGACACTGTTGATTATCCTCTACTCTTTGATACTCT